TGTGTACAGGTCATAGAAAATATAATTGTGTAACTGCAGTAATGCATTCCTGAATGAAGGTGCTGATATAGCATTTAGCTGCAGAGAATAGGGCTGTGAGCTTTAAATAGCCTTACTTGGGCATCTCTTAGACACAGCTGATGGTTCCGTGAACGGATTGCTGCCTCTGGGAGAACAGAAAGTCCCATTGCAGAGGCACTCTCTAAGTATATTTAATGACATTTTTTAAAGCTTTTAAATATGTTTCAGCATGCTGGGGGCTGCTTAAGGAGTCCTGAAAAAAACATCGTGAATCCATGGGGGAATGTGGGAGCAATCCTCCAAGAAGTGGGATGCAGAGCCTGGCAGCAAGTACTAAGGTACCTGTTTGGGCTCAGCTTGGCAGAGGGGGAGCAGCACTCTGAGCTGAGCTGCGGCAGCCAGGGCCCTGCAGCACCCCAGCACTTAAACTTGAGCAGGCGTTCACAGACAGGGGCCCACAGGAGACCGGGATCAGACCGTAGGATCTGCTCCCGCACCCACTGGAGAAGTCCTGACTCTGCCCCCTTCTGCTGTGTGCTTCCTCGCTGATACCTGCCCTGCACGGCACCTGGCATGTACTGTGATAACCCAGCAGCAAACTGCAACAGCAAACATTTTTTAACGTTATTTAGCAGCAAAAGGCTGCTCGGTGTGAGGCACTTCTGGGACAGACTGAAAAGCCAGGATTAGGTGCACTGCTTGGACTCTGCTTTTTATGTTGAGCACATCTGCAGGGGTGTGATGCCACAGGGACAAAGCTTTATCACCAGTCCCGCTCTGCAGTGTAGTCCTGTCTGCAGAGACCTGCCTGCTATCTCTTTTATACCCCTTTGTCCTTGTTTTTCTTCTATTTTGTTTGGGGTTTTTTTGTTTGTTTTTTGTTTGTTTGGTTGGTTTTTGTTGGGTTTTTTTTGTGTGTGTGTTTTCTTTTTTTACTTTCAGAAGAATAGGGATCTCTCTGGCTTCTCTCTCCAGGGACTCACACCTTGGCAGCAGTTATGCCAAGCAGGTCAGGGAACCTTCCACAGAGCCCAGCAGAATCACTGCTGGTCCTGCATGACAAGGGTTTGTCCCTTAAATAGTAATATCTTTTTCAGTTTTCCAACTTCTTAAATCTCTCTCTTTGGTTTCGTGTGTTTTGACTACGTAATCGGGTAATTTCCATGGTGAAGGACTACTCAGTAATTGTATATATGTGAATCACAACATCTTTTATGCAGTTGCCTTGGACTAAGTTCCCATATCCCAGAGGCCAGTTCACGATTCCAGAGTCTGTTTATTTCCTTTACTGTCATAACTGTAATTTGAAATTTTACACCATTTTGCATAAACAGATTTCAAAGCACTTTCTGCCACTCCTAGAAACAGGAAAATTCCCATCTGTCTTCCCTTTCTCTGTCTTTTCTCTGCAAGTTCATTTTTGTTTCTATATACATGTCGCAACTTGTCTGGCCAACCCAAAGCCCCATTTCTTTTAGAGGAGGGAGAAAAACATCAAAAATGAACTTGCAAGAGAAAAGACAGAAAAAGGGAGGAAATGTGCCTCCTGAGTCTGGAAGAGCTGTCCCTGCAAACAGTGTCATCTCCATGGTGGGAGTCTCAGGACTCCCAGGATATCCTGGGTTCCAGGATATGATGCCTTGATGCTGCAGGTGCCACAGAGAGGCTCCAGCACTGGGGGGTCAGGGGCAGCAAGCCTGAAGACAAGTTGTGTCCATGCAGAATGGTGCAAAATGGCCATGCCCATGGCAGGTCTCCAGCCCCCATGCAGTTGGGTTGCTCAGACACCATCTGGAGATGAATGCTTCCTCATGGGACAGGTAGGGAGCCCTGGGCTAGCAGCTCCAGGGCTGGAGCCTGTGATGTCCCTCAACCAAAGAGCTCCCTGTCCCTGCAGTGCATCTGCCCAAGGCTTTTCCTGCTAGTAAGAGCTTTGGCAGCTTCTCAGCTAAGTAATGTGAAGGATCTCATCACAGGGTTGAGAGGACGATATCAGTCTGTCTGCTCTCCCATCCCATGGCAGGTGGAAAGCTGCTGAAATCCTAGCTGGGGATACAACATGGTAAGACAGCCTTTCCCTGGGGAGCCAGGTCTCCACCAGGGCTGGCCTGCTAAACCTTCTCTGTTACATAGGTGCCAGGAGCTGATTTCAGGGTGGCCTAGGGTGTGCAACGGGACCATCTCACTGTATCTCCAGCTTATTCTAACAAGGGGGGTTCTTTGCTGGCAGCACTCGGTGCTGTTGCCTCCTCTCCCTAGGGCCAGACAAGCCTTGTCTCTGAAATGGACAATTCAGTAACGCAAGAAAATCCTGGCCAATGCAGCCCATCCACACGTGCCTCGAATGCAGTGCTGCCTCACCCCATGCACAGCCTGTATGTGCCCTGTGCAATGGGCTGCCTCAGCTGCCCACCCCTGGACACACCACAGAGCTCCTGCCACCTCACCCCAGTGTGGGGCATGCTTTGCATCCACTCCTGCCTCCCCATGTGCGCACACTGCCCATACACCCCATCTGCATCCGCGCAGGCAATGCTGCCTTGTCGTCCAACCCCTGCAGCGCTCCATGCTTCCTGCACTGGGCACACACCCCATATGCACGGCTTGCAGCTTCCTCATCACCCAGAAATGTGGGGCAGGCTTCATTCTTGCATGAAGTGCTCAGAGCATGTCTGGTGCCCCCCCTCCCTTTGTCCTGTTTTACCCCCCAGCTCTCTTCTTTCCTGTCCTCCCACCCTCATTGCAGCTTCCTGCCCTTTGATGTGCCTCCCCTCCTCTGCCCCAGGGTATGAACTGCTTTCCAGGTGGAGAAGACTTCTCCCCACCCCACAATTAGGTGCGATTACAATGTTATGCCTTTCCCTGAACCCTTGCTCTGGTGAGCACGGAAGGTGGACAGGCCCATGAGCAGAGGCTAATGACTGGCAGGACATGGAGCAGGTCCTGGGTCTGTGCGGGTGAGCGGTGCTGGAGGTGGGATGACAAGAGGCTCCTAGTGATGCTGGGGATGGGGTCGTCACTGAACACATCCTGCCCTGGTGGTGCTGAGCTGGGACTCAGCTGCAGCAGCCCAAGCCTGCTTCGTTCCAACACAAGAGCAGCAGATACCTGGGTGCTTCTCTTTGTGGTCAGGCAGAGCCCAGAAATGTGCCCCTGGGGAAGGCGCAGCCAGCATTTGCATGGAGACAGGTCCCAGCAGCCAGCAAAAATTTTGGCTCTCAGCTCTCGTCATCTGTGCATCAAGGCATGCAGTGCCTCGGCATCCATCAGATGCCCCTTGGCTGGCAGCAGCCAGCAGAGTGGGGCTCCATGTGCCCCTGGGCTTCGGAAGGTGCTGCATTTGGGTGAATGTGGGACACCTGTGTCTCCTACCATGACATAGGTTTGCTTCCGCTGGTGCTGGTTGTGAGGGAGCTGATGGCTACAGCAAAGCCCACGTCATCCCCACTGTCACTGGAGCTCGAGGAGTGTCAGCTCTTGGTGGCTCCTCATTGACGCTCAGGTGAATGCGTGGTCCTGCAGCGGGTTTCACGGAACATGGCTGGGCAAACGTCTCACTGCTCTGGTGTGACTTTGGCCACAGGGAAGCCAAATCTGCAGTGCACAGCCAAGGCTGGCCATTCTGCAGTGCTTTCTCCTCTCATTGCTCTGCAGGATGCAGGCAGCCAAGTTCAGGAGAAAAAGTGGGATTGCTGATCTGTGTGTGGGGAATCCCACCTCTGCAGTGTGCTATGGCATGGGAGCTCTCATAGCATTTAGGTCAGGGTGCTTCTCCTGGCTTCTTCTCTTTTCTAACCGTGTATCACAAGAGGTGCTTGCAGAGGGTCTGACTTTGACATGGGCAGTCAGAGCAACCCCATCAGGGACACGCTGTGCCAAACCACTGAGGGAGCTTTGCGCAAGCAGGAAGAGCTCCTGGGTGCTCCCGTGCCCTACACCAAGCGCTGCTGGCCTGGTTGTGGTGCTCTCCTGAGCTCTTCATCCCCGGCTGGCGCTGCTCGGTCTGCATCTGCGTTGGATGAGCCATGCTCAGCTGTGATGGCCATCGAGGTGCTGGGAGCACCTTGGCTGTGGCCATGTTTCAGGGCACACCTCGGCAGCGTGTCCCTTACACCCTAGTAACAGACAGGACTGAGCTATTTGCTATTTGTAGCTTTTGGGGGGTATTTGGGCAGTCAGGAGCTCAAGAGTACATGTGTGCATGTGTGAGGCATGAGGTGCAGCATGTAAAAACACACCTAGAGAGAAAGTCTCAACAGAGATTAGATTAAAAAAAGATGTAATTAAACACAGAGAGCATCCTGGCTGTTACTCCTTGCATAACTCTTGGGACCAGCTGCCTTCACAGATGGCTGCTCTGCTGTCAAAATCATTTGCTGGGCACCTGTTGGAAAAACTGCCAGGTCAGCACAGAACTAATTGCACCGCATCTTTCCTTGTAGTGAGATCTGAAAGTCTAGAGGACAAAATGCTGAGAGGCCTTGCAGCTCCCCAGACGAGCCTGCAATGCCCCTGCTATTTAACCCTCCCCATGTACTCCTGTACATGTGATGGGGATGAGGATGCTGCAGTGACCTGGAGGGACTTGAGGGCTCAAGTGGCCCCTGGCAGAAGAGGCTGCACGTCCCCCCTGCAAGCACAGTGATGGCTGCTGCTGGGCCAGAGGGAGCAGAACAGGAGCTGCTGCTGTCCCCTTCCCCTGCTGTTCTCACCCAGGTCTGAGGCTCTCACGAGTGGCCGAATGGCTCTGCACACAGAGCTCTGCAGCTGTGGAGCAATACCCAGACACATCGGATACTTTTGTTTGCCTGGGTGAGCAGCCAAGTTGCAGCCCATCCACAGTTTCGTACCAGCTGCAGATCTAAGGCAGCTGACTGCCCTGCCAAAAAAACACAACACTTTGAGGACCAGGGAGTGGCTTGTGCTGGTGCTGAATAATGATGATCCCAGTGCGCTTATAAAGCGACAGGGTGGAGAGCTCACCACAGAGCTGTTCTTGCAGCCTTGGCCCTCAGCAGAGCATCACTCCACCTCATCAGCCAAGGTATGTTTCTGAATTGAGAGATTCAAACTGGGAGCTGTGCGTGTGTCCGCAGCAGAGCCCATGGCCTGCAGCTGGAGGCAAAATGGGCTTTTCCTTTAAACTTGTGCAAAATGCTACCACTGTTCCTGTGGAGGGTTTTCTGGCCAAGGCAGCAGAGCAGCCCTGTGCTGCATGGTCTGTAGGTGCTGACCTGCCCCAAGTAGAGCCTGGAGCGTGTGGGCAGCATCCTGGCTCAAGAGGCTGCTTGGGAGTGAACAGCACAGCTCACTTTCCCTTCTTGCAGCATGCTTTTGGTAGTTAATTCATGTTTTATTTGGTGCTGATTTGAGTCTTGAACAACCTCCCTATCCTACAGTGCTGTGTACATCCTGGCACATGAATCATAGAATCACAGAATGGTTTCGGTTGGAAGGGACCTTAAAGATTATCTGGTTCCAACACCACTGCCACAGGCCATTTCAGCTATTTTTGTTCTCTCCAGGTCCATTTTCTGCCTGCATCCTGGTGCAGCCATGCTGGCCACAGCAGTGTGGCTCTCGGTCTTGTTCAGCCTCCTCGGCTTTGGAAAAGGCCAGATGTTTCACATGGGACCATGCCCAGATCCAGCAGTCCAAGAAGACTTCGATATCAATCAGGTGTGAAAAAGTTTCTAAAAGTCTCAGGGCAGGCAGCAAGGTAGGCTAAGGGGACATGAGACTGATGGCAAAGTGCCTGGGTCATGGAGGGGGTGGTCAGGTCTGGTCTTGATACCTTGTGTTGGAGCTGCCAGAGCAGGTCTGCGACCCCACTAACCCCCACAGCCGCCTGCACCACAGAGGGGAGGGCTCAAATGGACTGAGCAGGCAAAACTGTGCTGGCAAACATGACAGGGTGCTCTGCCTCAGTCCTCTCGTGCTAAAACCGTCTCTTTGGACCTTCTTCTACCAGTATTTGGGGAAATGGTACGAGATAGAGAAGCTGCCCTCAAGTTTCGAGAAAGGAAGCTGCATCCAGGCAAACTACTCATTGAAGGAGAATGGGAAGTTCAAGGTGATCAACAAGGAGTTGCTGTAAGTGTTTGCATTCCAGCTGCGTCCTCCCTGCAGCAGTGGCACTCCTGTCCTGTCTCCAAATTGCCTGTTTCTGGTCTGTGGTTGCAGTAGCTTTGCTGGGATAATGGGCTTTGCTGTGGTTACAGCAGAGATGCAGGTCTCTGGTTTCTGCCAGTGCTTCCCTGGGGCTCACCAGGTCTCTCTCTGGTTGTCCAAGGTGAGTTGTGAGAAAATAGATCACAGGCACATGGTGACTCCAGTGTGAAACAGCCTGGGTCTCCTCCTGACTGGTTTGTGGTCCCCAGTGATGACTAAGAAGCCAGATGCCCCAGGTCCTGTCCCAGGGAGGGTCACAGGGCTCCATATGGGATGGCAGCCACCACCTTGTGCCCCTGTGTGCTGAGAGGTGTCTGTGCCCTGTGCTCCTCTGAGCTTTGAAGGGACCCAATGAAAAGGGGCAGGGAAGGCGAAGCACACGCATCATTTTTACTTAAGCAAACATTTGTCAGCCTTTTTCTGGAGCATTTACCTTGTACTGGTAGTAACTGCTGTGTAAGGGGATCGACAATCGTTGCCAGTTTAAATCAGTGAGCAAAGATAATGCGGATTGTTCCCTTTATCACACTTGATGGTTTGCAATTATCCTGAGCCCTCCTGGCTTTCTGCATGGGCAGATGCAGATATCAATTCATCTGTTTCCACCACCAGCCCCAGCTGGTGCTGCTCTGTGTGGCTGAAAGAATGAGAGGGAGGGAGCAAGCGGTGAATGCAGTGCTGTCCCCTGTGCTCCCTGGCATGGCATGGGGGCTTTGTTCTGGCTCACAATGACAACAACGTGGCCACACATCCCTTGTGTCTGGCAGAGAGCAGTGTCCATGCCGCTCGCTGACTGCGCAGCACTGTCTCTGCAGCTCCACTGCTATGGCAGTGCTAGGCAAACAGCTGGACATTGATCTGCACCCCCATTAATCTGCAGGAGATCAATCTGACCAGTAGTGGCACCACTGCAGCAGCTCAGGATCCTGAATATTTTGGTTCAGGTGTGCACTATGCATGGCCCAGCATCAGGCCCTCGACCTCTGCTGCTGGCAGCATTACCTTCTGCCTCTTTGGGTATTCCTGTTTCACAGGGAAGCACAAAACTTTCCTGCCCCACAGGCAGTGTCCAGGTCTTGAGACATCTGGGGAAAGATGCAATTATAAGATGGGCAGCCTGAGTCACAGGGCTTATTGCCAGCAAGGCAGTGCTCTGAACCAGCTGTGAAACAAACCCTGGACTACCAAGCAGGGACAGGTAATGTGTGTGCAGAGGAATGTGCTGTGTCCTAGGAAAAATGCAGGTGATTAAACAGGGGTGAACACATGCCTTCCACAGCTAGCAGAAGTTGAGCTACTTCCTGGCATATCCAAGATCAGTGCTGGGATACTCCCATCCTGCAGAGGGGTCTTGCTCTCTGTTTTCTCTGTCACTGTCCCCCTGGCACTGAAGTACAACCCAGTGGCAGGGGCACTTCGAGAGAGGCACCCTGGGGCACTGGGGTGGTTTAACCTGGGAGAGCATTTCCCCCACTGCGCCAGGTCTAGGACTGGTGTGCCCTGGGTGCTGCTGAAACCATCCACAGGGGCGAGCTGTCCTTCCGGGGATGCTGCGGTTAGCTGGTGCGTGTTTCGGCCTCCTCTTGATAGGTGGATGCACTACAAGGGATTATGTAGTGGAAAGCAAAAAAAATTATTTCAAACTGAGCTAATTTAATTTCTTGCCCTGTCATTCTCCCCTTAGCTCCAATGGCAAAGTCAATGAAGTCGAAGGAGAAATCATGCACATGGATGTGAAGGAGCCAGCCAAGCTGGGCGTCCGCTTTAACTGGTGTAAGTGCATGGTTGGGAGGCTCACAGTGGTCTTGTTGATACTTATACATCATTTACAGCCACAGTGGTGGAGCACTCTTCACCAGCTGATGTCAAAGCAAAAAAGACCATCAGCATTAGCATCCCTTCAGGCCATTTCACAGATGGGGACTGGGAGGGAAGAGATGAGGGAGCTGCAGCAAGGGCCAGCAACAGGCTTGTTTTTCTGAACAGTGGTATAGCTTCTAGCCCATCCTGCCTCGGCTTACAAAAGCCTTTTAATAACCATTAATAATACAGTTTTGTTTGCCTTTCCTTCCCTTGTCAATGTAACACACGATAGGCCTGCTGAGGTGCAGTGAGTTTTATTCCCATTGCAGAGCACTTTCCTCTGTCTGTAGCAACATTTTGGAAAGTGAGCAGAGGCCTCGCCTTGGCTCTCTTTTTATTCTGCTCCCTCACACCTTTTCCTTGGTTATTTCATAGCACTCACACAGAGAAGTTATTTGGAGAAATGGGTGGAACAGGGCACTTGCAAGGAGATACAATTATTGTTCATGTGCACAGCCGGTCTTAATTACGCACTGCTAAGGCATCACCTGCAGCTGCTTCACCCACAGCATGTGCAACCCCAACCATCCTCACTGGATGGGAGCCTCAAGAAAACAGCACCTCTAGCTCCTAAGTGCATCAGACACAAATACTGCCTGTCTGCTGGACCCACCTCTGCTTTGTGCCTGATGGTTTGAAGCGGAGTGGCTGTCTCCCACTGGAGCAAATGCTTCAGGCATAGCAGCCTGATGGAGAACAGAATCTGTCCCAGGTGACTGGTGCTGGTGGGATGGACTGGACCATACTGATTCCCACTGCCCAGGCTCCAGCTGGTTCCATGAGCGGAGCACCCTGGGGCAGTGGGTGGTGGTGGGGAGACATGTGGTGGTTTGTGCTCCTCAGATCACCGGTGTCAGCTCCCAGATCGCAGAGCAAGCACCCTCACACGGCTGCGAGCTGGGCCGGCTTTTGGTGGCCTGGATGAGCTGATCAGGTCATAGTGTTAATTTGCCAGCAAGGCCTTCCTATCCAGGGCTTTGTGGCTTTCTTGAGCCCCACTGGACAGAATTAGGAGTTGTGATAGGCTTTTATAAATTATAACTCCCTATACTGACCACTATATGTGGCTCAGGCTCAGCCAAAGTGGGAACAGCACCAGGAGCCATGGCTCTAGTGCTGCAGAGCAGTGCAGTCAGCTACGCATCACGTTCACCATGCCCTTCTTTCTCCTAGTCATGCCTTCAGCCCCTTACTGGGTCATCTCCACCGACTATGAAAACTACTCACTGGTTTACTCCTGCACCAACATTCTCTGGCTCTTCCACATTGACTATGCCTGGATTTTATCAAGAGCTCCCGACATGCACCCAGAAACTGTGGAACATCTGAAGAGTGTTCTCCAGTCCTACAAGATCGACACTGAGAAAATGATGCCCACGGATCAACTTAACTGCCCTTCTGAGATGTAACTCCGGCATGCAGTGACACAGCACCAGACCAGCAATGAACTTCGTTGCTTTCTGTGTTATCCATTAGAATTTCTCTATGTAACAGAGAAATGCAATAATCCCTTGCTAACAGTAGTTTGCCAGCCCTGAGTTATGCTTTGCTGATGTTCTCTCTATCGTGCTTCCCCCTTTTTTTCTCGCTCTGACTTCCACAGAGTAACTGACTGATTCAAAGCCAATGGGTGAAGAAAAGAAACCCTGAAGCACAAACGTGAAGCTCTGCTGTTGCTGTGAGTCCTCTTCTATGTGGATGGGAAAGGGTATGAGATATGATGTGCAAGTATTAGTCCCGGGAAAAACCTTTCATCACACAGCCCGAGGTTTTTTTCCCATTTTTGTCTTGATGCTTCTGGGCATGCTAGGAGTCTGCGCTGTCTGAGCTACACCGCAGGCGCTGCCTTATGAGAGGCAGCAATCACACACAGTGGGTCAGTCCTGCAGACCTGGAACTTAGACTGAGGTCTCGAGCGTTTTCTGGTGCAGGCCTGCAGGCATATGTAGCTGCCATGTCAGCGGACCTCCTGACTAGGAATCAGATCTGGCCCTTTGTATTTAAAGTCTAAAAATGTCCAGAAATACAGCATCATGATCCCCAGTGTCTGTAAGTGTCCTCTCTCGCCTCTAGTGAGGCTGGTCCTACACTCCCATGGGGTCAGCTCTGAGAGTACACATAAGCAGACAGAAAGAAATGCGGCTGCTCCACTGTGCTCTTTTGGAAGCTTTTCCCTGAACACCAAGAGACGGCAGGCTCTGCCTGATGTCCTGCTTACCGCTTTTGTACATGCACAGTGCCCGCTGGCACTGCATCTGCCCTGGCAGGTGTTCACCAGGTACCACAACAACTCTGCTTGAATAGCATCGATGCAGCTCATTAAAAATGAAATTAAAACATCCGCTTCGGGGCTTTTGTACTTCCCAGCTGCATGGCTGTTCTGAGGTGGCCAGGGGGGTTGGTATGTGGGGTCTGTACCGCTTTTGTACATGCACAGTGCCCGCTGGCACTGCATCTGCCCTGGCAGGTGTTCACCAGGTACCACAACAACTCTGCTTGAATAGCATCGATGCAGCTCATTAAAAATGAAATTAAAACATCCGCTTCGGGGCTTTTGTACTTCCCAGCTGCATGGCTGTTCTGAGGTGGCCAGGGGGGTTGGTATGTGGGGTCTGCTGCTTCTCTGAGGCCACAGCAC